TAATACCGACGCAGTCGCAATAGCAGCAGCAGCAAGCGAATTCAATGAATTTCGATATCGTTTGGGATTTTTAATAATTCGATTTTGTTTCGCACGTTATGTTATATTAATGGATCGTTGTTGTTTGTTTTTTTTTCGGACAATATTTTTTAATGTGTTTATGTTGGTTTATTTTCACAGTAAATGCAAAGAGAAGAGAAAAAAAACAGTTTGTTGGTTTTTTTTGTTTGGCTTTAGTTCACTTGGTATCACTTAAAATGTAGTTTGTTGTTTCTTCGCTGCTCTCATAAATCCCAAGATTACTTTAAGCTTGTGCGCAAGCACCCACCTCCAGCAAAACCCCACCCCCATTTGATCATCATCAACTCTTCAGCAAAAAGCAATACAACAACAAAAATAAATAAATTCATAAATAAAAAAATATATATAAATAAAAAAATATGAAGCACATGCTAAATTTGAAATTTTCAGCGTGTGCTTCTTCTTATCTTATTCTTCTTCTTCATCTTCACCTTTATCTAATTGCTGTAGGTCTTTTTGTTTTTTCCCTCCGGCTGATTTTCAAAGTTCCGTCTGCTGCTATATTTGAACTGCGAGGCGCATGAAAATGTAAGCGTGTATGTGTGTGTATATGCATGTGTATGTATGCGTGTGTGTGAAATCACTCTTAACAACGTTTGTTTTGTCTGCATCAGTCTCCATGTGTCTTTGGTGTGGTACTTTTTCTTTAGTATTTTTGGTACTTTTTCAGAATCTGTTTTTGGGACTTTGTGTTTTTGTTTTGGTAGTTGGTTTTGGTACCAAATATGGCTTACTGCAAAGACAAAAGCTCAAAAGCTAAACTGACACATACATATGCATGCAAACACATATACGTATACAGCATACATAAATATACATATGCATATGTACCCATTAAAGCTTCGTCAAGCTGTTGATCAAATTGTTTGTCTCTTTTTCTTTTTTTGCAATCAGGGAAATTTCTTTCTCTCACACTCTCGCTCTCTTGCTGAAGTTGCGTAGATATTGCACGTGCTAGTGTGTATGTATAGATGTGTGTATGTGTGTGCGTGAGTGTGTTTGTCTCACTGTGTACAAATACTAAGATTTCACCTTCCAAGTTAAGCAGAAATTCTTACAGTGTTAAGAGACGCCTAATTAGAGAAATCGCATAGGGGAAATGGAGTAGAGCGCAGAGCAACTGCTGCAAGCAATGAGCGAGCTCAGAACGTGAGACGTTCCACTGTGCACAACGACCTATTTGAAGAGGACGCGCGTAGGGAGGGGTGGGAACATATGTATACACACCTACATCACAAATAGTATATATATATATATA